TTAACAGAGTGGACTCTTCAGGTTGCTAGCTACCTTAAGGAGTTTTCACCTTTGGTTTCCCCAATTTCCTCCTTTGGGGCAACTTGGGGTATTTATAGCTAAACTTTCAGTCGTCTGAGAGAGAATACATCAGGGAGATGAAAGTCTTACAGTTTCTATCAGTGGTGGGGACTGGGTGGGGGGGGGTGAGGAGGAGGCTGACCGGAGGTTCATCGGCGGAGGTAGGGAGCAGGGCAAAAAGCCGAGGGTGAGAGACAGAAAGCTGAGAGTCTTTTGTTTAAATTACTGGAGTTTATCAGCGAAGCTGATTGGTGAGGCAGTGTGTCTAAGTTAAAAAGGCTTGGGAGAGTTACTTGGCATAATTTCTCCGTCTTCAATGATTTACTACTGAAGTGCAAACATCAATTTTGGACTCTCTCCTGAGAAACATTTAACAAAGACAATGAACTACTGGTACCCTGATGCCATTCTGGATTTGCCAAACTTCAATAGCTGTTTAATAAACCTTACTTGAAGTTTATAGCTGGTTATGCTTTTTCTCCTTGTTTAAGAAACAGGTTCATAAGTAAATATGCAATTCCAGGAACAGAGATGTAAAAAAGGGTCTTCCTCTTTACCCTCCATTGTGATATATCTTCGAATTGTTCAGAAGTGCACCCTATTGTTCAAGCTATTTGTGCCGGGTGTGCTAATGCACTCTTTGATTGAGTGAATTAGCAGTCATAACAATCTGGCAGTCTGGCCATAGAAGTGTGCTCAAATTGATTTGTGTTATGGCTGGACTGGAAAATCTAGTGTTAGTTCTTTTTTGCCCTGGGGCACTGTTTGTACCAAACTCCACTTTTCATTTAATTTTCCAATAGATTTCAAAAGACTGAAATGTTTGCGATCAACATTTGATCCACTTGCATTATTTAAAAAAAAATCCTGTAAGTAATTTCAGATTCCAAAAACCTTGCTTTCAATTAGGGTAAACATAATTAGAGTGACGTCGTGCTTGGAATGGTAAATCTCCCTTTGTATCTATTAAGCATGTTATCTTGTCCTGTCACTGAAAGGAATCCAGTTTGTATTTGTATTGTGTATTTCTGTGTGCTGGCTTGACTCAAATACAACTGGGGTGGGAGAAAGACAGAAAAAAATGATATTGTCATGTATCCTTTCTTGGAACTGGAGCACCTAGTGTCAGTCATCTGACCTCTAAACTATATCAGTTTCCCTTAATGATGTTATCAACAATGAATCCAAGTGTTTTCAAGAAATATTCAGATATTCGAGAAATATATCCTTGAGGCACATTGACTTTGTTGTACAATCATGCGATTTTCTTTTATAATCCAGGAAAGGAAAAATTTCAGTTTTTTCCCCCTCAGATTTACAGGTAGTTCCAATGGATATATTTACATATACACATAAATGTATGTATAGTGTGTGTATAACAGATGTATATTGAAACCTGAGGATGAAATGAAACTGTTTATCCTAGTTTTGTCAAAATTTGTATCTTTCTTACAATATTCTCCTTTTTAGTCATTTGTCAGAATTATAATTCAGCAAGAATAAACTTTAAAAATGAGTATTGATCTCAGAGAAACCTTTATGAAATGATTTAGTCAGTTTCCCTACTTGAGAAATCAGTGAATAATATAGGTCAATAGATAAGGAAAGGACGAAATATGATAATATATTTGCCTATTTCTCTAAGGGGAAAAAGCTCTCTTTGCTATCATATGTTCTGAAGGTGTGTTGTTATGTTTTCTTTTCTCTGTAGACCTCTTTCTTTGTCACTGCCCTTTGGAAACCAAAAGGCTGTGCCCTGCACAGGACTAGAGTGCCTGGAGTCTGTCATTCAGGAGGTATTCACTGAGATTTGAATAGCAACAGCTACTGTACACTTTCTGACTACATCTTTCAACATTATAGCTAGTCTCCTCACTGGATTTCATAAAGCAGTGAACTCTAGTAGTGTGTGTATATGTGTTGTTTGTTTGTTAAGTAATAGACTATAAGACCTATCAGCTAGCTTACTGTTAGTGTAGGTTCTCATTCACACAGAAAGGGTCTCTGGGGAAGGTGGGGTGGGGTGGGAGGAGAAGGGGGGGAGGAAGGATAGTGGGAGGAAAGAGAATACCTGCCCTGAACAGTTACATGAGTGCAAGAGAAGCTCAGCTTCAAACAATATCCTAGGAAAGAAATTAAAGACTTCTTAATTAGTGCAGCAATTAAGCTTTCTTGGTAGCATTTTAATCAGCACAGACCCTATCAAAGGACAAACAGAACAATTTGCAGGTCTTTGAATTTTAAACAGTCTTATTGATTTCAGCACAATGTCTTCACTTGACACAGGGAAAATTTTTCATATATCAGTGACAGTACTCTGAGCTTAGAGGAAGAGAAGATGGAGGAAGAGCATTTGCAATGACCTGAGATGTAAAACAAACAAACAATAAAAAAAAAAAAATACCCTGAAAAGCTAAAGGTGAGAAAGAGGAGGGGTTAAATTCAAGTCCTTCCTAGATTGATACTTCTGCTAAGGACAATTGAAGCTTGCCTTAATTGTTCCTAATATTTCCCAAGCAAGACACTTTGAAGGTTCTTGCACCCTTCCATACATGTATTTTTATTTTCATTATGCTTAGTTACTAATAATATTGTTTGATCAAACAAACACACAGTGATGAACCTTTTCAAACTATGATTTTCTTTTAACTGACTGCAGACCTGAAGATTTTCTGTCTCAGAAGAATTCATTCAGTAGGAACAAGCTCCAAAATACCCTACTCTATAAAGTAAACATGTGTTGTGGGGCACAGCTTCCCCCTCCACATTATGGGTCCTCTTAGAAGTTAAGGTGGAATGGTGACATAATTGAGGGTCATGCTCTAGCTGCAATAGTTGCCTCACTTGTATGTTATTGGAATGTGGCATGGTTGTGTATGCATGGTACTCTGAGTTAATGTGGGGAACCAGAGGGGGTAAGGGCAGCTTTTCAACACTTGTTTTGCATTGTTCTCATTTATGGGTAGAGAATTCAAAACGATAGAACTGTGGTCTAACATTTTTCAAAGTAGCTGAAGTTTTTATGGCAACATCAAGCTGTGCCATTATAATTAAAGTTGTGTTTGCATTTCCAATATAAAATCAGTTTTACAAGGGTTTGTAACTTTTCTCCCCCTGTTGAATATAAAATCTGCATTAAAATATATTTTAAAATAATCATGTACTTACTATTTTTTGAGATTTTTGTTTATGTGCACAGATGCACATATATACATACTCACATTGGTATAAGAATTTATTAGATGAAGACACCTTTGAGGACCAAAAGAGAATTTCAACTTTTTAAAAAAATAGCTGAGGTTTGACACCAGGTAGGACAAACAGTTGTCTATAAATTTAAGATATCCTAGAAAGTGTTCTATTTGTTTTCCTTCCTTGTTGTAGACCAAGAAGAATATTCTGGTGATATAAGGTACCTTTTATGAAAGACCTGAGTAGATTTTTGATATGGCCATATTTTTCAATGCTTTTATATTTCCTCGAGCAACAACAAACAACAACAACTTTTCAATGAAGTAGAATAAGAAGAAAAATAATTATTAACTAACAAAAATAGAAATGTAAGTGTAAAATTCAACAATGTAGACTTAAAGCTTTCAAAATATATCCAAAACTAAAATTTCTGTCAAATATGTAATGCATCATTTCACACCTTGCAAAATTAGAGACTGCGCATGTGTAGACAAAGCCTAATTATTCAAGATCCACAGAGATATAGATAGAGGATTACATTCTGACTTATGCTATTTTAAATCACCTGTTGGTCAGAGACCCTTTAAATACCTAAATGCAACAGGTTAGGTGAACTTAAGAATAAGAAGAATTAAATAGGTGATTGAGAATAATTCTACCAGTTAATTTTTATGTATCTCCACTTTGTCTTTTCAGGTCTGCTATTTAGGGAGGTGTGTGTGTGTGTGTGTGTGTGTGTGTGTGTGTGTGTGTGTGTGTGTGTGTGTGTGTGTAGTGTAATTTCTTAAACACCTTTTAGAATAGAAAGGATATTCCCATAGAATGAGTTAATTTTAGAAAATTATAAGTTAAAAAAGGTCTTGTTATCACACCATACCAGAAAGTCTTTTGTCTTTTTTAAATAGATTAACAGCTTTTTTTGTTTTTGATATTCGCTTGAATTTATCACAGTTTTAGATGCATAAAGTAAATAAGTGTGTACTTGCTTTATATTTAGCTGACCTTTCGTTTTTGAAGTCAGAAGATATTACATATATTTATACCAGGCAAGGAAACATAGATCCACTTCGAGAGTATCTTTTCATTTTTCTTCCCCCCCCAATCTACTGAAATACAGAGCAGATAAAAAGAACATCTGCTATTATTATGTTAGCAATTTAGATTTCTGATTTCTTCCAACTTTCAGTCTGTGATATGTACTTACTAGCCCAGTTTAAAAAAAAAAACCCAAAACAAAACAAGACGTACTCACACAAATAAGTAACCAAACGAATGAATTAAAATCATACGTTTAGGTTTGCATATGAACTTTCCCTAAAGTAAGCTCATAGCAAATGCAAATCTTCATAAGGATGTATGGAAGGAGAAAGTGTATGTAGATTTTCCATTTATATCTGATTTTTTAAAAATTTAATTTAATACGTCCTAATTCCTATAAGAAACTGTGCAAAGTACATTTGTTACTCTTTAAGTTGACAGGAGATTGCTTAGATGCGTTTGGAAAATTACATGTCGTCGTGGTTGAGATGAAATATGAAACATGTAATCTAACGGTAGTATTAAAAGAAAAGATGATGATCTCCCTTTCCTTCTTCGTCCCCCCTCCCATTCCTCGCCCCCCCTCCGCCGTCTATGTCGCTCTCTCTTCCCCTCCCTCCCCTCCCACAATCTCTCTCCTCACCCTTTTTTTCCTCCCTCCCTCTCTTTCTCGTACTCTCTCGTTCTCTTTCTCAGTATCTCTCGCTCAGTCGGTGTTTCTTTGCTCCGGGTTCCTGGTTGGATAATTTGGGTTAATACTAGTGAGTGAGGTTTTTGTGGCTTCAAAGGGTATTTCAAGTTTCCGGAGCTCCTCCCCTCTGCACCGTGTGACAACAACAACTCGTCCAGAGAGCAGCCAGCACTTTTCAGCTCATTTTCTCTCTGTCATTCCCCTCTCAATCTTTGATCAATGTACTTGCCAGAGAGAACTGAAGTCCTTCAAACCTCCTCTTTTTCACCTTCATCTTTAACTTTGTGCTAGAGCAGGACCCAAAAAAACAATAGCCAACCCCCCCCCACTCTCTCCCCCCCCCCCAAAAAAATTCAGCCCCCAATCCCAGCCCCCGGAGAGGACTACTCATTTCGACTTGCGGGACACTTTTGTGCGTGTCTCTCCTGCTTCTCGCTCTTACCCCTCTGCCCTTCAATCTGCCTTTTCCTTCTCTCTTTCTTTTCCTTTTTTTCGTTTTTCTCTCTTTCTCCCTCTTCATCTTCCTGGGGATTTTGCATTCTCTCGTTCGTTCTCCCCCTTTCCTTCCCCTCCCCCTGGTGTGTGGCAACTTTTTCCACCCCCCAATCTCCTTCTTCTCCTCTTATATGTCACCATGGCCGTGCCGGCTGCTTTGATCCCTCCGACCCAGCTGGTCCCCCCGCAACCTCCGATCTCCACTTCTGCCTCCTCCTCCTGCACCACCACCTCCACCTCTTCGGCGACCTCCTCTCCGGGTCCCTCCATCGGTCCCCCGGCGTCTTCAGGGCCAACCCTCTTCCGACCAGAGCCCATCGCAGCGGCAGCGGCGGCGGCAGCGGCGGCGGCGGCAGCGGCGGCGGCGGCGGCGGCCACGGTCACCTCCACCAGCAGCAGCGGCGGCGGCGGCGGAGGCAGCGGCGGCGGCGGCGGCGGCGGCGGCGGTGGCGGCGGCTGCACGAGCAGCAACGCGGGAGGCGGCGGCGGTAACTGCAACCCCAGCCTGGTCACCCCCAACAGTAGCAGCAGCAACAGCAGCAGCACCAGCAGTGGCAACACCGGCAGCGGCGGCGGAGGCAGCTCCAACCCCAGCCTCAACGTGAGCACCGCCAGCTGCGGCAGCAGCAGCAGCAGCAGTAGCAGCAGCAGCAGCAGCAGCAGTAGCAGCAGCAGCAGCAGCAGCAGCAGCAGCTGCGGCAACCTCCCGGGGAAACCCGTGTATTCGACCCCTTCCCCAGTGGAGAACACCCCCCAGAATAATGAGTGCAAAATGGTGGATCTGAGGGGGGCCAAAGTGGCTTCCTTCACGGTGGAGGGCTGCGAGCTTATCTGCCTGCCCCAGGCTTTTGACCTGTTCCTAAAGCACTTGGTCGGGGGCTTGCACACTGTCTATACCAAGCTGAAGCGGTTGGAGATCACGCCGGTGGTGTGCAACGTGGAACAGGTTCGCATCCTGAGGGGACTAGGGGCTATCCAGCCCGGGGTGAACCGCTGCAAACTCATCTCCAGGAAGGATTTCGAGACACTCTACAATGACTGCACCAACGCAAGGTAAAGGGGGGGGGTATCTTCTAACATCCACCTTCCTCTTCTCCACCCACCTCCGCCCCCCCTCTTTCTCTCCTTTCAGTCCTGTGGAGCCTCACTCGCCCCACAGAACCTTGGCAGTCAATGATCCTTTCTTTCCTTTCAGGGGTGTTGTTGACAAACCTGACCAAACTGAACCTCTTCCAGTCTCTCCTGAGAAGTTGGAGAACCCATCCTATCTATCCTGCATTTACCTTCCGCCTGTTCCTTTTTTTCCCTCTGGCTGGTCCCATGCCCTCTCTACTTACCAGTAAATGTTAAATTGTCTGGGCCCGGGCGGAGCGTGGGGGGAGGGGGGAGGAGAGTGAGTGCTTTGATTATTGAGGGACTTGGGAGAAAGGGACGAAATGAGAGGAAGGGGAGTGGGGGGGGGGAAGGATAAAGGAGCGTGTAGAACCCTGAACCTCGCGGTGAAACACATTTCTCCTTCCAGTTTGTCAAAACCTGAGAACACCTACCTTGTCCCACCTCTGCCCTCTTACCGCGTGGGGTGAGGCATGCGATGCTAGGGCTTTCCAAAGCCAGGCACTCGGGAGTGCGAATCTGACTGGAGTGTGATTTGTGTTTGTTACGGAGCGTGTTTCCAGCGAGTGATTAAGATGAGATTGGGGGAGGTTGTGAAAGGGGAACTGGGTGGGAGGATGCGGAATCCAATTCGAGGAAGCAGGTTTTCCCAGCCAAGCAAATGGGCTGGGGGTGGGGGTGGGGTGGGGTGGTGGGAAGATGGGCTTCGGATTAAGGGGTGAGGATGCCGGGGTAGAAGCGTTCCTTCACCCCACTGGGGAAGCTAAGGAAATATTGTCCCGGGATAGCACTTCAAAGTCTAGGGGCACACTGTTTTGGCGTCTGAGAATTGACCCAGTAATAGAACTATCACCATTTCTCCCATTTCTCTAGGGTGAATTTAGCTACAGCATATAAAGGGGAGGGAGGAGATAAGACCCATTGTGTGTGTGTGTGTGTGTGTGTGTGTGTGTGTGTGTGTGCGCGCGCGCGCGCAAGTGATGGTAAGAAAGGAAGGAAAGTAGAAGGAAAGTAAGACTGTTGCAGGGCAAAAGAGAGTCAGCAGGCAGGCAGGTTCCCTTCTCAAGGGGTGGAGTTGGGCTGGGCGAGACACAGAGGTTAAACTGAGTTGTTGGGGGGAGAGGAGAAAAATGCCAGGCCCCTGCTCTTTCTGAGGTCCGTGGCTCAGTGGAGAAGCAGGTGTGGGAGTTGGGCTGGGAGGCTAAGCTGAGAGAGAGGACTCGAAGGTGCAGTCGCATTTCCAGTAGCTGCCTGGGAATCGAGGAGTGCCTTGGGATGTATTAGCCACCGGTCCAGTTCCAGAGCTGTTTCACAGTACGATGTCTGTGTGCTCTGAGGGCAGGATTGTACTGGGAGGGGGCGGGAGAGGGGCAACTTTTAGGGATCTGGGAGATTGTAGGATCCCGGTTCGTTCCTCAAAACCCTTTGCCACTACACACAGGCGCGCGAGCACACACACACACACACACACACACACACAAAACACACACACACACACACAAAACACACACACAAGTCCCCCACACACCCTCTCTCTACCACTCTAGTTCATCTTTTGCCCCATAGGAACAATAGAGCAAAAGTCAAAACATGGAACAAGATGGGAAGGGTGTAGTGAAAGTTAAAGCTTAGTTTAGAGATGGGAAGGACAGTAGAGAAGGAGGGAATAACACTCTTAACTTTCCAAGAGAAATCAAATGCTATTGAAATAAGAGTGAAGACAAGAACAGAGAGGGCTCCATCTCCACGTGTAGCTGATTAGGACGATGGGGCTGGGCTGGGGGTGAAGGTTAGAGTTAATTTACAAAGTAACCAGAAAGGAAGAGCTCCCCTGTTGTCCGAAGGAATGAGAACCAGACCCGCACAGACTGTCAGACTTGCATCTTAGCTGGCTACCTTGAGGGTAGTGATAAAACTCAGAAGACAAGAACCTTGTGGGGGAAGGGTCCACTTAGCAAACGTCTCCTAACTGATTTGGGGCAGAGACTCTCTTTCAGGTAGTTATTTGGGAATCAACTTACAGGTCGTGAATGAGCTGCTAAATCAAAAAACGATTCAGTAGTAACCCGTAGGAGCTAAACTTTGCCGCCTCCTTCGCGCCCCCCCCCTTTACTTTTATATTTTTATAAAACATTCTTTGTTCTATTTGGTTCTGTAAACTTATCTGGGTGAGTGTAAAGAACAGGTGGCAGTTAATAGATTGAGGTGGGGGGGTAGGGATAAAGAAAGGCCTTCACTGGGATAATATTTAATAATGAATGACCAGGAGAGAAACATTTACCAAGAACTTATAGATATAACTTTTGTGGCTACCGGTCTGAATAGGAAACTCTTAAGTGGTCGTTTGAAAGAATGACAATTTTTATTTGAAAGAAGTTTAGAGATAGATGATCAAAATAGTAATTACTTCTTTCCAGGTACATTTTCTTTTAAAGTAAATCTTACTGTTGAAAGTTCAGTATAATTCTATTCAGTAAACAAACAGCAAGTCTAAGTTCTTTCTGTGTTACAGCACAAACTGTACCAGTAAATTAAAGGTCATTTCCTATTAAATCTTGGTTAAGAACACTTTCATTATAACGTAAGATGATAAATATGCCATTTAACAGCTCACTTAAATAATTATGTTTTTCTGGTTTTCTTAAATTTTGTGAGAGTTTGGTACTGAAGTCTTTGTCACACCATCATGGTCTATCAAAAAAAAAAAACTACATCAAAATATTCTAAGAGTTTATGCAGAGGTTAATGACAGTTCTTAAGTTTATCATCAGAATGATTCAGTGTGCTTTAAAGGATAACTGCCCCAGGATTGAAAGACAAGTTCAATCCATTAGAGCACATCTTTAATTCTACTTACCACTTCAAAAATATCTTATCATCACCGTGATTATACTGTTGTCATCTGGTATCGATACTTTAGTTTGCAATTAAATATGAAGTTCCACCAAGCTTTCACAGTCTGTTTTCAGTTTTAAGATGTATTGGTTGCTTCCCTTGATGCATTTTGATCTTTTACTTAACACCATCGTTTGCTCACATTAATGTCTGTAGCATATAGGCTCTGTCACCATTTGTTCATAAAATATTTTGCTACATATAACTGAGATTTCCTAATTCAACAAGGGATTCCAGAGCTTGGAGGTCTTGGGCTGGGGCATGCAGTGCTTTATTTATTTTGCCACTATATGCTGTCAGAACTGTAATAGTGTATTATTTAAAATCAATATGACATTATGTTTCTTCTGGAATACTTTGAAAAAGGTAAGCATAATTTCTTGTGTCTAAAGTTTCAAAACTAAAATGACTCTTTCCCCAAAAAGAGGTAGGTTAGCACCTCTTCAGTAGAAGAATTAATTCCCTTGGTTTGGATGCTTGTTTTACTCATCTGGATTTTAGTTCTGTTGTCCTTGTCCCTTACATTTACTAAAAAGAAAAGAAAATCCAAAGGAAGAAACAACACAGGTCAAAAAAGACTCTGTATTAGAAAGCAACTTAAAAATGAAATAATGTCTGTTTTTCCAATCTCAGTGTTCAGTCTTTTATAAAAGCAAATATAGTTATTTATTGCCATACCCTAGAAGATATCACCAGTGTTCGTATGGGTAAACTGAGGAACCATAATATTAATTTACCCAAAGTCATTCCTTAAGTTAATAAAAAAAAGTTTGAATGAAATAAGACTAATTTCTTTGGTTGAACTACCAGTGTGGTGTTTCTTAAGGGCCAAGTAAATGCTTAGTTAGTTTGTTATTACCATTCAAAAAAAAAGATGAAAAGAAGGGTATCAAGCAAAAATCACCTGAGGGTTAACCGGAGTTTACATAAAGACTTCAACATGGGATGGGGGTCAGGGAGTGTAGAAAATAGAGGAGAATACATTTGTAAGTTGTCAAAAGACAAAGGCAGACCTTGATCAGTTTCCTCCAATTATTTATTAAACTAAACATTAGATGACTGAACTTGGCTGTTACAAGGGAGGTTAGTTAATGAACTAGTAACCATTAAAAAACAAAGTAAACCATCAGTAAATCACTTATTTGTAGACCTGAGTTAGAAATGTGTTTTACATACATTCATGCCTTATAGAAAAATCTTTATCCCCTTTCAGATGAAATTCAGGGTACTTAGAACACAGGACTTGCTGAAGTTGGACTAAAAGATTTCACTTTGCTGAGTAGGTTGAATGTGTGTGCATTTCCATTCAAGCCTTTCACTTTTTAAAATCTGTAGATGATACATATTTATAGTACTGTATCTATAGATGAAGTATCACTGTAGCTCTTCATCATTTCATCTTATGAGTGCATTCAGTGAATGGATGACAAAGGAAAGATTTCCTAATACTGTATTCCTTTAAGGAAACTTTTCTTTGTAAAATGTATTATGAATTATTTGTTTTAGAAAAAGAAATGTGAGACACTGGGGAAACATGTTTTGCCTTTCAACGTCCCTCTTTTTTGCCTTTTGACATTCTTTAATTAACTATCCCACTTAGACAATAGGTATTTATTTAGGATTTTACTCTTTGATTAGCTTTCTGTGTCTCAGACTTCTATTTCATTATAGAATCTTTAAAATAAAACCATTTCTCAACTCCATAATGTTTATACACACAGGTAAGTTAGTTGTAGTACGAAGATAGCTTTTCCATGGGCCACACTGAAAAAAAAAAAGAGGCCAGAGTTGATAAATGTTTGTATTGCAGCAGATTGATGTTAGAAGTTATGTGTAATATTTCATTTTATCAGCTTTTTATACACTGTGACTTAAGAAGATTTGCCTGGTAAATTATGAGAGAAAATCCAAGTTTAGGACCCTGCAAAACTGCTTACCATTCATGTTGATTCAAATCCCTGATTGATATTAATATGTTTGATTGTTGATACTGATACTGTTATTGGCAGGTCTCAACCAAGTATGACTATTCCAGTTTAAATGGG